AGCCATTTGGCTTTGTGTGGAGAGCTTTGTCTAGGAACCGCTGCTTGTGTGGTATGCCTGCACTAGAGAGCAGACATCTCTCCAAGAATAGTACTGAAAGTGGACTCCATGACACAGGTTGTTGAGCTATTGCCATTTCAATTTCCACAGCACCCTGAACCCAAAACTCCAAGATTTGAATACTAAACCTGAGCTGCAGGGGCAGCAGAGCCCGCTGCTTGCTGCCATCCGTCGTGAGGTGGAGGCCTACATTGTTGCTGGGATGTGGGTCAGACGGGACTGTGTAAGGTTATGGTTTGCAGAGGTGTTAAATTAGATGACCGTGTTCATGAACCCACGTTACTTATTATGGATCCATATGATGCTTACTGCATGCAAATGCCAACACTTCCTGCATAACACCTACAGGATTCCAGTGTTTATTTCATCTTCACCTCAATTTAAGTTCTGCGAAAACAACCCAGAGAACAGAATGGGACCATGGCTTGTGTAATGCAGCGTCCGAGATAATTGCCAATTTCATCGTCGCAAGTTTCGTGCATGATGCTGCTGTGGGGGACTTCCAAAAAGGCTTAAAAGGCAATTCTCTAGGCTCCTATATTACTTTGTGAGTCTCTCTAGCGATTGGACAAACAGGGCTAGAAGTCCAGAAGCAAGCAGGCGAAGTTGAGCTTCAAAAGTTCTAGGCTTTGCGGTTCAGGATTTTCCAGTGTTTTTGGTTGCCTGACTGCCGCTCCTCTCCTGCCTGCATCCAACATGGAGTTAAGCAGAATTTTCTGTTCTTTCCTGGAAGGAAGGGTCTTTTAGCTCGGAGTTCTCCTCGATTATTCCTTCTATTGCTATTACCATTATTGCAACTTCCAATTACTACTGTTACCTCTGACATGGTTTGCGATCCTGCAAGCACGAGGGCCTGGGCCAGTGGAAGAGGCGACCTGCCGCAGTAGGTTAGGGTTAGGGTTCAGGGCCTTAACCCTAGACTTACTGGTTCTTGGTAATAATCATGTGAACATGGTCCCTATATAACCCCCATGTGATATGTTCCGTAAGAACCAGTAAGTAAAACCCAAATCCTAAGACTTGTATTTGAGTGTCCAACCCAGGGCTGAAAGAAACATGCGACCCACTGCAATGTCCCAATTCATGCGCACTTCTGCCACAAGGGCAGCAGTTGGATGTGCCCCTACCTTCGGCTTGTCATGTCAGGCAGAGACATGCTCTCATATGGAAGTTGGATTTTCAAAATGTCCCTCATAAAATCAACAACAAGCTACCCCAAATTCCCCCACCCTAGATCCTAAACCCCTACACCCTACACCCTAAAACCTGAACCCCAAACCCCTCAACCCCCAAACCCCTGAACCCCCAAACCCCTAAACCCCCAAACCCCTAAACCCCAAGCCCCAAAACCCCAAAACCCCAAAACCCTAAACCTCAAAACCCCTAAGCCCTATCCGAGCATCCCTTGCACTGAAAGGCTTTGGAGGACCGACTGCTGGCGAGAGTTGGGCCCCAAGGTATCCCTTCCATCTATTTCAACTTAATGGGCCATTTGGGGAGTGGTACTTAAACTATGTTATGTAGGGTTTTAGGGTGTCAAAATGGGACCCTAATTGGGTAGTGATAGGGTAACTCGGATAGATTCTTTATGATCATGATTCAGAGCTTTCTGGGAGAGATACGCTTCATGCATTGTGTGAGAGGAGCTAGACTACATGATCAAAGTATTAGATTATTCGGCGTTTCACGCAGTTTGATGCGAAAGCTTAGGGTTCCGGGCAAATGGTGCGGTTTAGCTGAACGAGGTTGCTGAGATTTGACAGTTGTTTCAGCTCTAGTTTAAGAGAAGTACCAGAGAATCCCTAAGCCCAAGCCATCCAAATGCTCTATGGGATAGCCACAGACGTGGTACTTGTCCTTCAAGCCACCTGGGGCTTCAATCAATTGTCTAAAAGCCAGCCCCCTTCCTAAGGCTCGAACCTTCCAAACGCTTAGATATCCCATCCCAGATAGTTCGCCTTGAGCGCCAGAGCGTCGACACAGCGGCTGCAGTGGGCCAAGATTAAGCTTTTGCACAAGGAATGGACTCAGGCACAGTTTTAGGAATGCCCGAAACCCTAAGCGCCACAACCCTAAGCCCGAAATCCATGCGAAGGTGTTTTGCAGGATTTCAGGTTTTTCTCCTGAGCTTCTGGTGCACAGAAGCTTCGAGTCAGTAAGTCACGGCAAAAGCTAGTTACTAAACATGGGGGTATCCTGAGGATTTTTCGGAATCATACCGGGATTATGGGGTCTTTGGTGGGGATTATTTTTGGGTGATTTGAGAACCTGCGAAATGTTGCCTGCACTTTGTTCTTGAAGAGTGCGGTTAGCTTACGGCATTCCTGAAACCCTAAACCCTGAACCTAAGGCCTTCAATCCCAAATCCTAAGCCTTGAATCCCAAATCGTACTGGTTGAAATGCCTAGACCCTCCCTTCCGGCATGCTATACCCTCAATCCCAAATCGTAAGCCCTAAATCCTAAACCCTAAACCCTAAATCCTAAACCCTAGATCCTGGACCCTAAACCCTCCCTTCAGGGACCTTTCGGCTTCAGATTGTCTCGCGCTGCCCCCATCGTGCCGCCATGGCTTTCCTCGCGGCCGGGCTGGCATTTGTTCGTTAATAAGAAGACATTGATAGGTGATATATAGGGAGAAAAAGGGGTTAGGGTTTTACAGTTTAGGGTTTAGGGTTTAGGGCTAGATAGTCGCGGGATCCTAATTTTGGGGGCTTGCAGGGGGTTACGAAAATCCTCTTATACTTTGTTTCATATTGGGGTATGGACAAGAACAGTGAAATTATAGATTTTATTTAGAGTTCAGGGTCCAGAGTTCAGAGGTTAAAGACCTTAAACCCGAAACCCTAAACCCTTGAGGCTTAGGGTTCAGGCCTGGTTTAGGGTTCTCTTATGTTTTTTGGTAGGGGGTATGGGCTTTAGCGGTCATGGGATATGTGGTAAGGTTTCGGGGCTTCGCCAAACGGATCTTAATGCGGAGACGTAGCATTATAAAGAAATTTTCGGGACCTCGTGTCCTTCGACCCCAGATGTAAAGGCTCAAGCCACTTGGATCATGTGTTGGACTTTGTTCTGGCTTGTGGTTCGTAGCCCTGCAGGGTCGCTACTTCAGTATCGCAGACTAAAACCCTAAACCTGCTGGGTTGCTGTTAAGGAGCTTAAATTAAGTTACCATAATGGGTATATATAGTAAATAATAGGGTTTCCACAATATGGTAACTTAATTTAAGTTCCTTAACAGCAACCCAACCTGTTGCAAAGTGCCAGGCTGGAAGTTTTGCGGCTTCAGATTTTTGGAGTGTGTGACTTGCATCTATCCTATTGAAATCTAGACCCACCCGAACACGCCAGGCCCAAACTCCCAGAGCCCATAGACCCCTGCTGGTCAGTATGGAGCCCATACAAGGTCAAAAAAAAACTCTGCCCTGAAACCACTGAAATCCATACGCCCATAAATCCCTAAACTCCAAAAGCATAACCCTGCATGTAAGCCTACATATTTCCTTGGTCAGTCCTTGGTCAGTTTCCTGTATTATGGCCCTATTCCTTCCGCAAAGAAAAACCATCAAAGGTTCTCCTCGTTGCACTCCGTCTGGCCATGGGGCAATCGGCAGCATCGGGCTGTGGCAATACTGGCCTTGCCATGACTGGGGGAGTTTACTGGGCGTTATAGGAGTCACACAGAGGTTCTGTAGGGCTACGCAGGTGATGTGGTGTTCATAGAGGGGTCACATGGCGTTTATGTAGAGTTTTGGGCTTAGGGTTTTAAGTTTTACGGTACTAGAATGGCCAATCAAGCGGACACTTTGGCTATGTAGAGTTATATTAGAGGTTTAAAGAACTTAAGCTAAGTTCTGAATTACATATCCATTTGGTTTCCTGATACATTAAGGTCCCTTACAGCAACTCGTTTTGGGACTGCGGGTGCCTTGGGAGGTTGGTAAGCCAAGGCCACGTCTCTTTATTCTTTTCAGTGCAGGAAAAGAAGATTGAAATTAGGACTTTACATAATATCTTTCAGTCAGGTTTCCCTGAGTCATGCAAACCAAAATGGATGCTACCTCATAAGGCAGCGGTTTTCATTCTCTCTTCCGTTCTTCGTTGAGTAGAAAATGGACATTGCCCAGGAGATCACGAGCTAAGTCAAAAACCTTTTTCCGAACCGGTTTCTGCAGCACTGTAGTTTCTGGCCTTTTTCTGCAATTGTTAGAAGAGAGCCTTCTCATCTTCTTAGAGCGCTAGCATATTCCAAGGGTCCCTCAGAGCATCCTTACTGGAAGCGCAGTATCTAGAGAAGCGGATGAGTGTTTTCAAGGGCCAGCCGGGACTCAGTGCCTGAACCATGCGTGAGAAATCTTGTCTGGAAAGGCTTCAGCGTTCTGGCACAAACAGGGGTACCCTGGAGTCTTTAGGGGTATTTGATTCCAAAGGCTCATATGACAGATGGCAAACTTGGGCACTTGAAGGTCCATGGTTAGCTATACGTTATACGTAGGGACATAAGTATCTCAGGTACTAGTACCACTATAGTTATAACTATAGCTCTCCCTCGCGCGATAGAATCGCGAACCCTCAAGTGTGTTTAGCGCAACTTCAATTCTGAGTTCCAAGCGCCAAGCAAACAACTAGGATCATAAAGGCCCTTATATTGGGGTTATATTGGGATAATGGAAAAGAAAATGGAAACTACTATAATGGGTTATACAACCCTATTATATAACCCATTATAGTAGTTTCCATTTTTACTATTGACCCTCATCCTTCAGCCCAAACGCCATAAACCATCGGCCCTAAAGGCCTCAAACCCTCAACCTCCAAACCCAAAAACCTCTTAACCCTAAGTCTCAAACGCGCAATCCCGAGATATCCCTATCCATCCCTTGAAAGGCAGGTAATATACAGAGCCCCCTAAGCTGCAAGACTGTTCGTGACCTGCGCAGGATGCAGACACGTGCTCTGGTTGACCGAACCCTGAACGAGGCCTCGTATGACGGGTTTGGATGTTGACGTGATTTAAGGTTGTAGGGGGCCTATCGAGGAGGTGTTGGGTATCTACATGGTTTAGGGTACAGGGTTTTAAAGATGGGGGTTTAGGGTTTGTGGCTTTAGGGTTTCAGGGTTTCATTGTCTTGGGTTTCAGTATGGTACTTAACAGCACTCCCGGGTGACTATCTTAAAGTCTTATGGTTTTAAAGTTTGGGGTTACAAGCTGGCAAAATTTGAAAGGGCTGATATTCAGCATCTGACCCTTGGGTCAGAGTCTGCCGAATCAGATCAATCTTGCCCCCGCACTGGCATGGAACGGAACCCGGTAAAGGGACACGTTGGGGGCGGGTAGCATCGGATGCTTTCCATCTATTCCTGGGAGCTTGCATTTTTTCAAGAGGCAGTCCACAGTATGGGGTAGGGTTAAGGGTTAGGGTTCAGAGGTTCGGGTTTTATAAGTCTTGTTAGGTTTCTGAGGTGGAAGTACTGCCTCCCCAGGCGAGTCATGCCAGCAGAAGCATTGTCGCATATATACATATGTCAGAGGCAAGCACATGCAGTCTCAAGGGTAGTGGTAGCAAGGGCTGACAAGTAATTGGCCGAAAAGCTGTTTCAACTAGTGCCCTTTTTACCTGGGTTGCAGATAAGGAGCTTAGTTTCAGTTTAAGTTACTAAAATGGCGGCCATATTAATTACTATAAACACCCATGATGGTAATTTAGTTTAAGTTCCCTACAGCAACCCAGTTACAGCTATGCAGAAAAGTTCGCGTTAGCCTTGAAAATTCTGACATTCCCAATTTTCCAGATGCATAATACTCCGCCAAACCCTTATCCCAAAGCCCTGAATGTAAAACCTGCTCCTGATGAGCAGTAGTCTAACCTCCTTAAAGGGCTGTCATGTAGGGCATTACAGCGGGGACTCTGAAGGCGTTGAATAAGCGGGATACTAAGAGTTTAGACTATAGCTCAACTTACATCTTGTCAGGCTTTCAGCAATGATAGTACTAATAGTACTTGAAATAATAGTAACAAGAATATTAGTAGAATAGTAATATTCGTAGTAATGGCATTGAGTACCCTAAACCCTAAACCCTGAACCCTAAACCCTAAACCCTCATGGTAAGAATGGTAATACTTTTCGTGGTGCAGAGCTCAAGGCCCATGGCACCTCTCAGCACCTCGTGGGCTGCGAGGAAGCCGCAGAGCAAGCCGCCAGGTGCTACTGGGTTCAGGATTTAGGGTTTTGGGGTTTAGGGTTTAGGGTTTAGGGTTTAGGATTTAGGGTTTTGGGGGTTCAGGGTGCTGGCCTTGGGCTTGAGAGCTTTGAGTTTAAGGTTTAGAGCTTAAGGCTTAGGGCTTAAGGCTGGGGCTTGGGGCTTAAGTGAAGGTTTGGGGCTTTTTGTTGGGGTTTAGGGCTTATGCGTTTCAGGGTTAAATGGTTAAGGTTTAGAGATTAGGGTTTAGGGTTGATGGTTCAGCATTCTGCCTTACTTGGAGATTTTGTGGGTAGTGCTAAGTAGGGTTAGGTTACAAGGACACCAAATTTCACAAGCATAGCTATCCGACCTGCCGTCCTACGTCTAGCTGCCTCTGAACCGCCAAATAGGATGGAAAACCATCCTCCATGTATCAGCACAAGGAACAAAGAACTGCTTTCAACTGCGAGCTTTACATACCGCCCCCAAACGTGAATCCTACACAATAAATCTATGTCAAGACGCTAATCCTGGGAGGTTCCTGCAGAATGCTTCTGGCGTGGCAGCAGCCATACAACAGGGCCTGGAAGGCTCCGCACAGTCCTCTTACGGTTGGTTCGTTGGGAATTAATGGAATACGTTATATAGGAAGTATATAGGGACGACATAGGGGGCCTATATAGAGATTATCTAGGGATTAGTATGCTACATAGGGATTATATAGGGATTATATTCCCATATTTCTCTACTGACAATCATTAAGGCATCTCGGAGCTCACGCAAGCTGAGGTAGATTTTCAGGGGTCTCATCATAATCTCTTGCAGGGGGGTCTGTTCTTTTGCAGGGCCCGAGGCCGTAAGCCCCCTTTTGGGCATTGCAAGCTATCAGCAGGAGACAGGTCCCATACAAAAGCTCCGAACCCTAAGCCTAAACCCTAAACCCAAAGGCAATTTAAGGTGCCCTGCAGGAAGGATACCCTGGGGTATGTTTTTCAGGGCTTCCATTTGGGGAGTCTGATGAACAGAGGATGTTGCCTGGGAGTTGTGTGCATTCTGTGCAGTGCTGCTCATCCTAGGGACTGTAGAACCCTCAAAGGGTTTAGGGTTTATAGTTTCCATTTTCTTTTCCATAATCCCCATATAATCGCTATATCATCCCTATATAACCCTATAATATAGTAGTTTCCATTTTCTTTTCCATTATCCCCATTTGTTCCTAATCCGGTGAGCTGAACCAGACCTGGCCGGAAGGCTTTTCGACTGGACTTCGGGCAGTCGGGAAAAGCACAATAGGCAAAAATTACCTTAATTTCCCCGCCTGTTAGGCATCTGGTCTGCAGTGGACCACTTCAAGGCCACGCCGCCAGACGTGAACAAAGGCCAGAATACCTACTGGGAAGGGCCTAGGGTTTGGGATGCGGGGTTTGGGAGTTGAGGTTTGGAATTGCTAAGGGCGTAGGGTTTGGGAGTTGGGGGTTGGAATTGCTGAGGGCGTAGGATTTGGGAGTTGGGGTTTAGAATTGTCAAGGCATAGGGTTTGGGAGTTGGGGTTTGGAATTGCTAAGGGCGTAGGATTTGGGAGTTGGGGTTTAGAATTGTCAAGGCGTAGGGTTTGGGAGTTGGGGTGTAGAATTTTTGGAATTGTCAAGGCATAGGGTTTGGGAGTTGGGGTTTGGAATTGTTAAGGTGTAGGGTTTGGGAGTTGGGGTTTAGGGTTTCGGGATGCAGAGTTGGGGGTTCAGCGTTAAGCATCTAGGGGCTACATGATGAGAATAGTGCAGAATCAAGTGGCAAAACAATTGGGAGATGAAAGGGGAACTGGGGTTATACAGAGGCCTATGTGGGCTGCCAAGAAGGGTAGGTCAAGTCAAGTTGTTGACAAGCAACAAGTTGAAATTCATCGCACAAACGCTAAAGACCTAAGCATGAGCATTTGAATTCGACAAATGTCCGGCTACCCCAAACTTTAAGCCCCAAGCCCTACACCCTGAACCTCCAAAACCTCAACCCGAAGCCATTACAGGAAACATGCTAAACTCCTCCATGTCTCTCCCATGCTGGAGGTCTGATGGTACTTGGATCCACGCTGCTTCGTGCGCTTGACCTGGTCCTGACGGAGGAGGGGTAACAGGGTGGCTCAGGATTTGTTTCATTCTCGACGTTCATTATCATTTAATTGCTGCTATTGTTCCTTGATTGGTAGCAACACGGGGTTAGTGGATCCAGGCTCCAGGTCCCACGCGCACATTGAGTGTTGAAGATGCCCCATTTCATAGTCTGAGCTCCTGAAGCCACGTCGATGCAACAGCTTCTGTCTTACATTTGGGAACCCAAACCGCAGTACACCAACCACCAGGTCTCAATCTCTGAGCACTTCAAGCGTTTTAGGGTTAGAGGATTTAGGGCTTGGGACCTTTGGTGATGAGACATCATATCTGTCCACAGTCTCTCTACGTCCGTCCATGTCAATGTTGTCCATCAAGATTTCGCACTTTACAGCTTTGCTGCTGAGGAGTTTGAAGCAAGTTGCTGTATGGAAGCCCGTTTTTCAGCTGGTGCCTCTTGTTGAAGGGAGTTTAGGGTTTAGGGTTCAGGGTTTGGGGTTTAAGTTTCTTAGCAGCGGCCCAGTTTCCAGCACACCGATGGACCTTTAACCGGACATTTCCTTGCTTGTATCAATCTTCCTCATCCTCATGACCAGTCCTGTCTTGCAGGGAGTTCATGAATTCCTCCCTCTGCCAGTCCCTAGGAAATGTCCTGTAGTTTGATATAGTGCCTGTCAAGCCTTAGTCTTATACCTCAGACAGCCAGACTTGCAGTCTTCTGAATAAAGTCCTTTCACAGCCCTAAGCCCTAAACCGCGAACAGTTTAGCCCAGCTGTGGCTTTCTGAGTTTGAAGGAAGGCCGAGAAAGCTGGGGGGACTACGCAAAATTCCGGGACTTCTGGACCAAGGCTGGTCAGAAGGGGGATTTCCAGTGACAGATTATATTGGGTTTATATCGGGATAATGGAACATAAAGCTGAAAATAAAATGGAAACCACTATATAGTATATTAGGGTTTGTAGGTGTTTACCCGCAAAGACATCGGAGTCTGTCAGGAAAGGGGGTAGTTTGAGGGCTGCAGGGATACACGGGTATTTATGAGGGTTTTGCACATCGGATGCAGGTGTCAAAGCGCGAAGCAGTCAGAACCCAAGGTAAGGTGGCAGCATCAAACGAAAGACATGAGGTGGTATGCTCCCAAAACCTTACAGGTCACCTTCCTGAGTACACCAATTCATGATCAGATTGTACCAGCAAACTCCCTGTCGGTACCTTGTGGGGCAGGTTATGAAACAACTCGAGCAGCATTTTATGTGGGGATGAGTAAGATCGTATCTTCTCTCTGGGAATGGTATTGTTTTCACGAATACAACCTGATTTGGTCCAACCACCAAAAGAGGCTACACGTTCGTGAGTGTCTGAACATAGGTTGCCCTTACCTATCCAAACAGTTTAATCTTTGCTATTCCTGCTCCTTTTCCGAAGCCCTCATTTGAGCAGAGGCCTTCGAAGATTTCCAGAGCAACTTCGAAGGCATTCGCGCAGACTTGCAGAGTTTTGCGGAGGAGCAGCGTGTTTTGGGTTAAGGGTTTAGGTATTCGGGGCGTATGGAGTTGGGATTTTTAGGGTTTAGGGGTTCAGGGTTTATGGATTCGGGGTTTGGGGTTAAGGGGCTATAGAGACATCTACAATCACCTTGCACTCGCTACAGATCTGTCCACAAGGGCACCTCTATTTTGAGAAGCCACCCGAACCGAAAGGAATGGACATCAAAATGGAAGCTACTATAGGGCTCCGGGTTTGGGATCTAGTATTTGGTAGCCCGAGCTGTAGAGACAGCCATGTTTCCAAAATTCTGTGCAAAGGGCCTCCAAGGTTTCAATCAACGCGCTTCTGAAACAAGCTCAAGCCCTAAGACATCGACCCTGAAGCTCAACTCCTAAACCTTAGACCGACCCTAAAACTTACACCTGTTAACCCTAAACCCAGTGGCAGCTCGGGCCCATCGGACAGCACAGGAGGGCAATGTCACATCCCTCATCTCCGCTGTCTCGCAGGCGCGAGGCTGTGCAGTCCGAAGTTGCCACGCTGTAGGGGTATACATTTAGGATTTCAGGGTAAGAGTGTAGGGCTTGGGATTCAGGGAATTCAGAGCTTAGGATTTAGGATTCAAGTTTTAGGGCTTAGGCTTTAGGGTTTATAGGGTTTAGTGTGCCTGCCTGATCTGTTCAGGTTTTGGTCCGCTCCTCCGACATGGTTGCGGGCTTTGCAGCCTGGCAGAGCCAATTGCTTGGAGTTTAGGGTTTAGGGATTTAGCGTTCAGGGGTTCAGGTCTTGACTGGCTCCTGTAGTGCCGACAAGGTCCTCCTGATGAACAGTTGGGGTTTCCCAAAAATTCCTTCATTGCAGTCGTGTTAGTTTGGGGTCCCTCTTTATTTGTATAGAGCCAGCTTGCCTCTGAAGCACCTCTGATCTGTTTCATGTGGTCTGGGAAAACCCAAGTTTAACTAGGCAATATCTTAGAATCTCTTATAGTTACGGTTGTAGATAAGGCTAGTGTTTCGCAATACAGCTACCAAGCCCGTGCTTGGTGTATGGCCGAGCTCTTGATTGTCAGCTTCCTTAGCGTAGTTACAGGCAGGATAGCCACCCCTGTGCAGGGCATCACCTTTTGCAGGGTCCTTGCAACCCCTCCTTTCATTACCTTTGAGCCTGTGCGTCTCTGTAGAGCGATTTGTGCTCCGTGTTATCCATAAGTTAACTACCCGTGAAGTTCCTATGCATCCCGGATTTCCAAGATTTCATCTATGTGCCTTTCTCATACCCTCCACGCCTCGCAGGTAAGTGAGCCTCTGGCTAACACGATCTCCCGAGTGCTGGATGCCGTGAACAAGGCCAACATAAAGCTTATGGTTTTTGGGTTTTGCGTATGAGGCTTCGTCGTTCTTTTTACGCGAAAGGACATGCCATTGTCACGTAAGACTCAGGCGGTTCGCGATTGAGATCTGACAGCAGCATGTAGAAAAAACCATCTCCCTTAGGCTTCGAAGACTGGCTGGATGTTTCAGGTTTGGGGTGGGAGGTTCCTAAGATCTTATAGAATCCTTGAGGACAGTCTGACAACCCCTACATTGTCCTCATGCAATCCTTAGGCCATGTTTTCTGGGCCCCTAAGTCGGAAATGTCACAAACTGAGATTCCTGATGGCATCCTTATAGCCTCGTAGTATCCCAATAAAATGCCTCTTATATCCCTCTAATATTCCTATCCATCCGCTTTATTGCCTTAGGCAGGCCCCTACATCCGAGAAAAACGGATCGGATGTTCAGGCTTTTGCTGCCGTCGGCGAGGCGCTCACAGAGTTTCGGGACGGGGACACCGTTGGCGGTCTGCAGGCGGATCTTGCGCTCAGGGTTTGGGGGTTAGAGGGTCACTAGATTGGCCAGTTTCCCAATTAACCCTAACCCCTAAACCTGAATAGTGATGGGAGTGTCCTTTTGGCAATTCCTATACCATACTATATCCGTAGGATTTTTCAGCGTACCATGAGTTTGAGAACCTCCTGGTCTCTTGAAAGCTTTCTGTGGTAGCAATTGTCTTCCGTACGTTGATGTTATTTGGGCTGAGTGGATATCAGTCAGGGTTCCACCTTGAAGAAGATGTTCTAGCTGGGCTGTTCCTCTTGTCATGCCAGTATCCTGATTGCAAACTTCTGGCCATGAGCGGGTTCTGGTCTGCTGCAAGATTCTGCAAGGGAATGCGCGTATGCTTACGCATCCTTAGTTCGGAATGGTGGACTTTGGTAATCCATAACTGGAAACTACTATTCAGGGTGATAAAGGGGTTATAGGGTATATATTTGGGCTTTATTGGGATACTGGAAAATAAGGTGGGAGCTACTATTTAATGTAATAATTCCATGGCTCCAGCAGAGCTGTTGAATTTGCAGGCCATTTACTACGGCCTGCGCAACGCCACACAGGGGCTCTGGGGCTCAGACTCAAACGACACAATCCTCGTTGGAATCGTGGCTTCGCTGGATGGCATCGTGGGCGGCATCAGCCAGGACCATCAGTTAGACTTTGTGGCACCTTTTTGGGAGCAGCTCATATTCTTGTATGCTGGCTCATATCATTTGCAGAGCTACAGAACGACTGGCCGCGCTGCAGTGCATTAAGTGACTGAATTTTCTTCTGACATGCTGGCAAAACTTTTGCACACGTGATTCAAAACTGCTCGCCTACATGACCCTGGAGGGCCCTTGTTAAGCAGTTGAAGATGCTCAACAAGAGCAGTATTTTACTTGGTTAGGGGTACTATTGTCCCTTGTATGGAGTCAGATTATACTCCTTTTGGGTCTATTATTTTATACGCAGAGTTTAATCTTACTTGGTTCAACCACCCCAAAAAGAATTACATAACCTTATCGACCCCTAGAAATAAACCTATATACTGCTTTATAGCATTACATACCCGTATCTTTAGTCCTGTGTTCTCTACAAGAGGGTCCCTAACCCCTAAACCCTAAACCCTAAACCCTAAACCCCAAAACAAGAGGATGTGCTGGAATACCAGCGGCGTCTCTCCGAGAGCCAGTGTTGCTGGAAGGCTCGGCTTTCGAGATCAACTGGGTTGCTGTTAAGGTTTAGGGTTTAGGGTTTAGGGTTAGGAACTTAAACAAATTTCCCGTAATATGTGTATGTGGGCTTTAGGAGCTTAAACTAAGTTACCGTAATATGGGGTATGTAGGGTTTAGGGCTTAGGGGTTTAGGGGTAAGTTGGTTTAGGCTGCCATACTATGGGTACATAGGGTTTAGGTTTAGGGTTTGAGCTGCCATAATACGGGGATATCGGTATATAAGATTTGAGGTTTCAGTTATCGCTGTACCTCAGCAGCAACCCAGTCAAACCCTGAACCTTCATCCTCATGGATTGCCTCTCTTCGCTAGCCCCCTGGGTTCCCACTTAAACCCTAAACCCTAAACCGTGTGGGTACTTAGGGAGAACTAGGGCCAATTGAGGCTAATTCAGGGGGAACCTGGGGCCGTAGTACGGGAGTCCATCATAAACCGTAAACCTTAAACCCGACATCCTATAATCTGATATAATATAATACAGTATAGTATAGTATAGTATAATATAGTATAGTATAGTATAGAACCTCAGCCGCCCCTAAACCCTCCAACCTCAATCGCCTCCATCTCGCATCCCTAAGTTTCTCGGTAGGGAACTCCAGTTACAACCAGGTTGCAACCCATATGCGTAAGCTCAAGCTGTAGTGTTTGGTAGTATGCCTAGCTTGCTGAGCGCCTAGCTTTTCAGGGTTACAGAAGGTTTCGGGTTTAGGGCTTAGATGCTCAGGGCACTTAGCAAAGTAGTTTAGAAGGCGGTGGCGGGTGAAACGGGTTTAAGCAAGCCAACCGCAAGTGGGGGATGTTTAGTCCCATGCATAGCCTGCTTACTAAGGCCCTCGGAGCCTCCAAGTAGGGATTACAGGGATTATAGTGAGTTCAATGAGGAGATTTTACAACCCATCTATAACGCATTCACTCAGTCTCGGAGTTTTCAAGTATCTCTAGCGTTGTGGAAGGTTTAGGGTTTGCTCATACCCGTAGATCCCTCAAACAATACCCAAGACCTAGAACTTTTTAAGCGCTTCCACGTGAAGGTGTCCCTGGCGCGCGAGCGATATCTTCCCAGCATGTGCTCGGAAGGCCGCAGGATACAACCAACATATGCTTTATGTACCTTCCGTTGTCTTTCCCCTTCATCTTGGAAAGGAAAATGGAAAGCAGCAATTGCACAGAGTGGTTCGCATTTTGCTTTTCAGTACTTTACAGTATCACGGGAAATGGTAAAGTCTTTGTGGCTGGTTGCTGTTTTCTTTTCCAGGGTACAAGGCTGTAGTCTTGCAGTTTTCGGCTGTTAGCCGCAGCTTTGTTTGAAGTGTGGACGCAACTGGGACAAGGCTACATCTACGACGGCGACCGTCACTGCGTGCCCGAGGATGAGGCGGGGTGTTAATGGCTGAGGGTTTGGGGAAAGCCTAAACCCTAAACCAGTCGTGCAGTTTTGCTGACGTGGGCAGTGCCTGGGTTGGGGCTTAGGCAAGAGAATCCTCCGTGCTTGGCATCCATTGTTGTTAGTTCTTTGTCACGAAGCAGAAGTTATCAGTTCGTTCCTACATACTGCATATGTGCCAGTATTACCGTTTCTGTTTTGTTTTTTTATATTCCTGGATTCCTGGGGGTCTGGTGTTTGGACGTGTGCGGTCAAGGGCCAGCTTGTTGGGTTTGCCAGCGGGGCGACAGTGACTTCGCTCGGGATTTTTTTTTCCAGAGTGTGGGTCTGAATGCCTACATATAATCCCCATATAACCCCTATCCTCATATAATCCCTCTAATATAATATAATAAGCCCTTTATAACCCTATATAATCCCTATAAAGTATATTCCCTTGTACTTATCTGGTGCCAAAAACCGAAAAAGTTACGGTAAGCCCAGTTCCCGCAAAGTCGGCGAGCCATTTAAAATGAGTAAGCTTGCGCACGTGTGAATGCTTTATGAGCTGTACTCTAAAACTCTTTAAAGTGGTGGCTATATAGGGGATTATACAGGGGATTATTGTAGGGGTTAGTAAGGGGGATACTAGGAGTTTAGAGACTATAGCTCTTATGATGAAGCTGAAGCTAACTCTCAGTGCTGACCTTGCAGGCAAAATGTTACAAGCCAGCCGCGGACTGCGTGATGCCCTTCAAGTACCGGGGAGTGACGTACCTGGTCCCAACTCTGGGGACACATTTGCAACACCGCTTGAAGAAAATTAGAGTTGAAGATCCGAGCGATAGGAGTAACAGCAGCATCAACCCAGTTGCTACTGGACCTAGCGGACAAAATCAGATATGTGAATCTCAGGTACAAAAACTGCACTTCGAAGCATCACAGCCGTCCATGGTGCGCCCACGATGCAGACACTCGAAAAAGGTTTTTTGTGTTGGGCGCTGCCCCCACTTTGTAACAGTTGGATAATATTCATAATATTGTTATATACAGCCCTTAATATGACCCCTCATATGGACTGTCACAGGGTAAGGGCCGCACCCAAGTCTTGTGTATTTTGAGGTCAGTTCCGTTGACTATCCAGGGTCGGGCCCCCTACAATTTCTCCAGTTTAGGGTTGAGGGTTTAGGGTTCAGGGTTTGGGTTTAGGGGGCGAACGGTTCCAGGGCCGAACGGTGACCGTAAGTAAGTACAGCCCCTTGCCTTGACTTGAAACCTAAACCCTAAACCCTAAACCCAGACCGTCAACTTTCAGACATTTTGCGGTGGAGCTGACCGCATAGACCCTAGACCACCCTGAACTCCAACCTTGAAGTGGGGGGTTTCCAAAATTAGGAGGTCCATAGTAAGGATTATAGTATATTGGGGTCTCTTATTAGGAGGTCCCCATAGTAAGGATTATAGTGTATTGGGGTCTATATTGGGGTCCCTTGTTTAAGGAAACTACCAAGTATCTCTGCGGAGCTTTAGCTGTGAGGCTGACAATTAACCCCCAAACCCTGCTAAGCTCGATTGACTTCTCTGGCTTGAAAATGCAAAATCCCCTTTACTCAGAAATATCCATTACCGAGCCCATAAGAGCCTGTATAGAGGCCACAGATCAGATTTCCCTTGAGCCCCTGAGGGTAATAGTCCTGCTGATGGAGAAAATCTTGCAGCACCTAGAGCCCCTAAAGTATCACAATTGCTGGGATGGAGGGAGCTCAGGGTGATGTAGGATTTTTTTCATCAGCAGTATCTTCACACAGTCCTAAGGTGTACCAAAAGGGCCAAAACCCTAGACCTTCCAAGGAGTACCAAAGAAACCGGTGGAGCGATTGCGAGGAAGTCCCTTGCACATCCCTGCTCTCCCTGGACCGCGCAGCCCTTTGGCCTGTGAAGAGTGGTTAAACCAGGTGTTTGGGGTGCTTTGCATGTTTATGTATTTGTATATGTATGTGTACATATATACACATGTGTTGGTATAGAGAGAAATGCAGACTTTTGTTTCTGAGTTTGGAAGTCCTTGACACACCTTTTGCATGACCTCCATGCAGGACTGGTGGCAGCGGAAGCCCAGTGGCACAGTCCCTGCAACGTGTGACACCACCGACACGGATGATGTGGAGAAGAACGGGGGATGGTGCTACAAGGACCTGTGGTTGCTTTGGAGTTTAGGGATTAGAGGTCAGGGGGGTAAAGGAATGGGTTGTAGGAATTATTCTAGGGGATGGTGAAGGATAGTGTGGGGACTACAAAGTATCCATAGCTCACTACGGATGATGGACAGAATCGGTCATGGACCTAGGTGAATATCATTCCTCCCCAGGCTTTCGTATTCGGGGTCATGCAGGGTTTTGTGCTTCGCCTGCAACTCTCAAGCTTGTGAGCATTGAAGCCAAGATTTCAAACCCTGTAGATCAAAGGTTGGAGGAGTTTCTTAAGCCTATCCCTGGTTAGCAGGGAATGAAGGAAGGAACAAGAAAGAAGAGCTTGTTTGTTATTTCATTCGGCATTATGTAGAGATTACTAGAAGCATCCATTCCTTCCTCCCTGCTAGCAACCGGTGAGTAAGGGACCCCTTAGGGGGGTTCCAGGAGCCTTGTAAAGGATGTCGGCATCAGCGTTGAGTTTTCCGGGGGTTTCTCAAAGGCTGCCAGTAGCAACGGTTTGCTCTTTCTCTTATCTCTCCCAACTCAGACTGGGTTAGCCTAGCTGAAGGCCTCTTCTTTTCGGACCTAGCTTAAAAAGTCCAATATGGTGGTCCGAGGTCCCTTGTAGATCCTGGTACTTAGGCCCCCTAAACCCTAAACCCTACACCCAAGCATTTCGCCAGCCCGGGCCTTACGAAGTCCCTGATCGAGGCGTGTCCGGAGGGCTACAAGGCCTTTGCTGCCCGATGCTGGACAAGCTGCGAGGCCTCCCCTTTCCCCTTCAACAGTACCTTGGCTGTTTAGGCCTTAAGGCTGTGGGTGTAGGCTTTGTAAGGGATGTCGGGTGTAGGGCTGGGGTTTAGGGTGCTGCCTGCAAGTGTTGTAGGTGATGTGAGGTCGGTTCACCACTGCGCTTTGCGTGTTGCTGGTGATTTGAAGACCCAATGTTCCATGTGTTCCAGTTTGCTCCCAAGACGCAAACTCCACGCTGTGGGTGCCGAACCCGTTGGGAACATAATTTTCGGCGATCAGTATGTTGTAATTGTCTAATAGAAATTAGAAGTTGATATCGACGCTTAACCGTAAACCATGTAACCCTAAAGCCTAAACCCATGGAGCCGTGAGGTGAAAGACCCTGCAGACGTAAACATTTCTCTGTGTTTCAAACATGAATCTCCTGATCAAGGCAAAATCAATGCTAAACACCTCCCCACCCACCAGCCCCTAAAATTCAAACTATGCTGTCTGCGAACCCAAGTTTCATGGGGGGACATATGATTCGTACTATTCTTATTATTGCTATTCTCATTTTCGTCTTAATTTAATTTCTATTGGTATTTACTATTAGTATTATCACTATTGCTATAACATTTGCTCGTGAAGGGTGTTCATTATTGGTGGGAGGCGATTGTCGAATGCTGACACTCCCATGGCTCGAGGGCTTGACTCTTTGGGGCCCAATCCTGGAGCTAAGAAGCAGGCTCTAGCCAGATTTTTGGATTTTTGCGTTTTGCCGTGTTGCTTCTTTTCAAAAAAATGGAGCTCCCTTATTCACAAAACTCGAACATTTCCCTAGGAGCCCTATTGTTGCTTATCATGATGTATTACGCTCCCGATCAAGGGGTCCTTGTGCATCCCGGCAGAGCCCTTGTAAGTCTTTTCTTCCGTAGCAAAGGAGCATTTTTACAAGGCAAGACCCTCAAAATCCTCATGGAATCCCTTAACACTCCGGGTTTGTAAGACTTCATGTACCTGCCCAGTGCCAGGGCAGCGTAGTCTCACACAGTACATGCGGACGCCTAAACTTCTCAGAAGGATGCTGGCACCCACAAATTCTGAAATCCAACCACTGATCGACTGTAAGCCGCAGAGCATGTTTCAAGTTCCCGGTTCAAAGCAAGCTTTGGGGTTTAGGGTTTAGGATTTAGGGATCAAGGTCCTCTGATCTGCGCCGAGAGCCAGGCGGTGCTGCAGTCTACAGTGGCTTAGATGGGCTGAGATTTTTTTGGCTCTTGCTTTTTGTTTAGAAAGGAACACCCGAAGGGTCTACCTTTACTTCTTGCGCCATTTTTACATACCCCCATGTGGTAATTTGAAAAAATATTGGCGGGCCTGGGAGCCAATCGCAACATATGATAATGCTGCTGATGGGAACCTCAAAAACACATCACATTTATTTGGAAACCCCCAACTCAAAGCCTCTCGTTTTCGGGCTCCTTGTAATAAGGGTTATAATATTCAGGACTTCATAGTGGGGCTCCTGAGTTTTGGATTTTGGAAACTACCATACTTCAGACATTGAATGAGTACGTGTCAGCTCAATTGGGGCTTATAGGTGGGATGACACACAAGCAGAGGCAATCGGCATCATTTTAGGATTACTGAGCTTATTGGGGGGGCAGCACACAGTTCAAGGTAATCAAAATGCTGAGAACCATGAAGCTCCGTGTAGGCCTTCATCCTCAAGAGTCCCTCAGAACCCTTCACCTTTTGATCCGTGAGCCCATGAGGTGGCAGAAATGGTCACAGTGACCTTGCGCTCTGCACTGAGCTTGGCTTCCGTCCTGGCGAGCATGCAGGAGCCCTGACTTCATGAGTTATTAGTGTTGAGGTTTAGGATGTTTTAGGGTTTAGGTTTCAAAGGCTGCAAACTACTACAGTCGGCCTTGTCTTCATGTCGGGAGCTTGGCAAATATGTGAAGTCGAGCTTTCAGGGTCCTCGTAGCTGAAGGCAGGCTACAAGATACAGGCCTTATTTACAAGTGCCACCTATCACGGCTTAGTCACAGACATTGGCACTCCTAATTTCTTTCTTGCGGTTTCGGAGCTGTAGGTAGGGTCCAAGTGTAGGGTAAGTATGGACTGAGGGGATGACCACCCCGTAGGTCCCACAGTATGGTCCCATTCTGGAGGGTTTAGGGTTTAGGGTTTAGAATGTGAGTCCCACAGTATGGTTATTATTGTGGGAGGATCTCTGAGTTAAGGACCATTTTTTGAGATATTTTCAAGCAGAACCATTGTAATTAATCTTTTTAAACTCGCCCGTGTCAATTCGAACGTCCACAAGACACCGTTCAAACAAGCAAACAGACAAACAAACAAACAAGCAAGCAAACAAACAACTAAAAGGCCAGCTATTTATGCGCCCTGCAAGCGGTCAGTCCCTTTGCAGCTTTCCATCGTTCTTCAGTCTGAGCGCGCGCAGGGCGATGTGAGTCGATGTGTGGGCTTGGTGTCCAGAAGGCTACATGTGTGGATGTCGTCAAAAGAAAGATTGACCTCTGTGGCCGCTGAGGAATTCAGAGACGTGCAGACCTGGTGGGTGTCACAAAACAGTGCACTGCCGGGAGACCTCAAAGGTATACTGGGTGTTCCCTGAAAAATTCGTAGCTTCTGCAGCTTATATTGCCGAGAAACAGCTGAAATTATGGGTCTATCACGGTTCCACACGGGGATTACAAGGAGATGAGCAGGGTTGTTTCCCAGGATTGTGCTGATATTATTTAGAGACACTCCCTCTCGAAAGTCGAAAGCATGACGAACTGCAGGCACTGGGCGTGAATGCACAGAGCTTGACGGCCACCATCAACGCAACTAGGCAGAAACATGGTCCCCCCTCATATCCTTCTTTAGGCCCGCCCATAAAAGGGATTCTCGTTTCTTGCAAGACCCCATAAAGAGCGTCTTGTCGTAGCCCGGATGACCTTCGTCAAGCCGGTGAGACTCCGTCGTTGCATGTTGGCATCAACCCAGGTTCCTAAGTAAACACCAGTAAGTCGGGTCGCGCTGAATAAATTTTCCTTTTCACCAAACTAAGACGAAACCCGACGATGCGCCCAGAGGAGTCTTTGGTTTTTGGATGCTCCATGTCAGACGTAGTGAGCCAAGGTGTTCCTGGACATGGGGAAGCCCTTCGCCTTGCCCAAGTGCTCAGAGGTAGACTAGGCAGGAATGTTGCCTTTGTTTGACTCTTCTTTGCGAACATTCACTTAGAGCCACAATCCCACTTCACCTGAACGCCTTTTCCGTAGCTTGTGGACCCTGGGCCAGGTCAGTGGCAAACAAGGTCCAGCTGAAAGCTCCTCGTTGTACAGAGAATTCGCAACTCTAGCGTGGCCGCAGTGGTCACGATGAGAGCCCTCAGAGCAACTTTTTCATGTAAGGTTGCGAACACATGAGCTCTACAGCGCTGCTTGCGAGATCTGAACCTATTGAAGTCCCCTAGGTCGACAGCATCTTAGGTTTGCAGAATCGTGGAAATAAGAATCACAGTTTCCATTTCTTGTTCCATTCTCTTTTCCATTTGATTCTCCATGATTGGGGGTAATAGTACCCCCACTATTTCTCTAATAGTACCGTGTGGGAGTTCTGTTTCATACATCATGCAACGCTGTGATTATTCAAAAGTTAGTGAGGAAGTTGCCACGAGTACAGTTTTGCACGGTTTTGGAAGGCGCTTCGCCGAATGCCAGGAGTGCAGGAAGTCCTGCTGACTGCAAGCAATACTTGCTTGAGTCCAGCTGGATACTGCCTCCGCCACGCAGTTACAAGTAGATAGAAGACTCAAGACGAAAATGGCTGTTTCAACTGACTATCTGATTTGAGCACCTAGAAGTTGAAAGCAAGTTTTGGGGCGGCGAGTTGCAGCAATTGAAAGGAACAGGGTGCAGTATCAGCTAAGATTGGTGGTTTCCAAACAAAGGGGAATTCAAGATAATTCAGTAGACCCCATATATTCCATTTTAATTAGGGCCTTAGGGACTCGCAAGATTTGTCCCCCAACTGTCGGAAACCTCCTTAAAGATTTCTGGGCTGTCTATCTTTTCTTCCGGGAAGATCGAACCTAGGCTGCTTGCACTGATTTTTTCATGAAGGTATTGCATTCAACTTTCTGCCAGAGGCACTGGGGTCTGGGATTTAAGGTTTAATAACGAGACTCTAAAACCCCCAAACACTAAACCCAGAACCCCCCCAAAACACCCAAAACTCCCAAACCGGAAACCCTAAACCCTAAACCCTCAACCGTAAGCCCCTTAACCCTAAAGCCTCTCCAGCACTCAAGGTCTTGGAGAAAGTCGTGCCCAACGAGGCTAAGCTGCTGGAGGCCAGCTTTTCGGACAGGCGTCAGTGTCAGGGTGTTATGAAGGGTTTAGGGTTTAGGGCTTAGGATTTAGGGTTTGGGGTTTAGGGTTTGGGTGTTATGAAGGGATATGGAGGATCCTTTTACTGGGTCGCTGTTAAGGAGCCTAAATCAAGGTTTCCATTATAGAGTTATATCGGGTATATCGGGTTTAGGTTTTAAGTTACCATAATAGGCAGAGATAAAAAATGATAGGGTTCCCCCAATATTTTTTCCTCTGCGCAAGCTCCATGTATCGGTGCCATCAGCACCGGCCACAGGGGAGGTGGATGATATGCAAAGAGAAATCCCTTATCAAGAAAACTACCACAACAAGAGAGGGCTCCATAAATATTAGAAGACAAATTAACAGAAGCTACAAGTAGGCTGGCGTTGGACCATGGGGGGCTGGGCCTGTACATAAATGTACACGTCTCCGTGGGTCCACAGGGAGACGAGCCGTTCCCCCAATATAGTAATGATTGTAATATAATTTAAGTTCCTTCACAGCAACCCGGTTTTAAAAGGGGTTATGTAGGGGTCACTGGGAGCGCTAGGGTTTGTGGTTTGGGGCTGAGGGTGTACATTGCGGAGATTGCACCCTAAACCCTGAACCCTAAACGCTAAAAAAAACAAACCCTAGACAGTAATCCCCGCAGAGCCGCCAAAGCTCACAACAACCAGCATTCCTCGAAGCCCAAGCAGCGGAAGCTGGCACTTTCCGCGTGGTAGTTTCTCAGCGTAAGCCCTATACAAGAAGGAGTTCCCTAGTCCCTCTGAAATACATAGGGGCTCTTTTGTTCTGTGAGTGTATGTTGCATTCCTTGGGAATTAAGGGTGAGGGTATATATGCGGCTTCAACTAGGGGACCACAAATAGAAACCGTGGATCATGTATCCCTGGTCCCGAAGGCTACCCCTATTTTGCACCAAGCCCCCAGACGCAGGTGGAGTCTCGGCAGCGAGAGTTGGATCCTTACTTGGAGGTTCATGAGTGGGCATGTCTTGGCTTACTAGAAGGATGTCCGTCGCACGAACTAGTTATAGCCTTGTTCGTAACTACCCATGAACTGCCAGGATTCTTTTGTGTAGGGCATTGCAGTCTGGCTTATTGGTGGTTAGAAGATGATGGAGGCCTGGACCCCTACAGTCTTCCCTATATGAGCCATGGTCTAAACTCCTTAAAGGGGGGTTAGATGGGGGATTATATAGGGGACTACTATAGGGATTATTAAGGGGCATACTAGGAGTTTAGACAATGGTTCATATAATCCCCTATCCCCCAGATCTGAGGGTGTCGATCTCAAGAGGCTACCGCGGAGGGTTTTAAGATTTGAGGAGGCCAAGACATTGTCGGGACTTGGCATTGCTGAAGCCGAACGTGGCCACACACTCAAGTCAAGGGCCTCAAACCCGAAAGACGAAGGTCCGAGCGTACACTGGCCCAGTTGGAAGGCTTGGTGTGCTTTCCCCAGCTTTTTGAGTGGGTTTCTTCACAGTCACACGGCTTGCGGGCTTGAGATTCAGGTCTACAAAGGGACATAGAACCCCATATTATCCCCATGATTAACCTCCCTTACTAAGTCTCCCTTACGCTCCAACTAGGGTTCGGCTTGGGGTTTGGGGAGGAAACCCTGGGCTCAAGGATCAGGGTATAGGGTTTCGGGTTCAGGTCTGAGAGTTTAGGGTTCAGGGCTTGGGGTGCAGTTTTCAGGATTTAGGTTTTAGGGTTCAGGGTTTGGGATTTAGGGTTTAGGACGTATATTGGAACTTTTTGAGGTGACCCCGACCCGAATGGCTTATTCCGTCCGGATTTACTGTGTGGTGCTTGTTGTCTTGTGCTTGTTGTGTTTGACTGTATATACTTTTGGAATTAGTTTTAAGGGAGTTGCAAGTCGGAAGCATATACTCAGTCATTTGTTTATCAGGGCCCTAAACCTTAAACCCATACACCCTAAAACCTATATCCTAAACCCCCTAAACCCCAAACCACCAAACCCGAAACCCTAAACCCCTAAAACCCTAAACCCCTAAACCCCTAAACCCCTTCACCCTAAATATAAATCTACTGTAATCAGCTGGTCCTTGATCCAAGGTCAAGGCTGAGAGGCCTGGACCCTGAAAACCCATGCTTTAGGGTTCAGGTCAGGGTTTAGGGCTTAGGGGTTTAGGCTTTAGGGGTTCCGGTTCAGGGTTTAGGGGGTTCGGGTTTAGGGGTTTGGGCTTTAGGGGTTTAGGGGTCATGGGGTTTAGGGTTCAGGGTTCCAAAGCCAACAGCTTCGTAACCCGACATCCCATATCTACCAGTTTCCATATCCCCCTCCTCATTTCCTGTAGTACTTAGTAACTTCTCTTTCCTCTGTCGTCATTGTGAGTATTTGGTATGAAAAGCTGTTTCTGCTTTTCAGAAACCCTGAATCCCTTGGGTGTCTCCCCGGCCCTGTAACAGTCGGATACTGGTTCTGCCTTAAAACACAACCACCAAAAAAGCACAACACTTTTTAAGTGGTGGAGCTTGTCAAATATGGTCCCTCAAATCTGAAAATCAAGTTTTCAGTTTGACATGTGGTGAGATTTCTGAAATTGCAAGTCTTCAGCAAGAGACAGGAGGTTGAAATTTCTAGT